TTCCTTCAAATGAAAATTGAAGAAACGGCTCACTCTGAGAGGATCCACTTCGCGTTAAGCTTGATCTCCGGAGGTGAAGGCAACAGAGCTGGCAATTGGGTCAGTAACTGTTATACGACGATTATGCGCGACTGGTACCTTGATAGCGAAGGAAATCGCAAAGACGAGTACAAGGAACGAATGACAGATTGGAAAAAATTTAAAGCAACATTTCTTTATCACTTTTCCTCTTACTCGGAACAACAGGACGCCCAGGACGCTTTGGAAAAATTGTACCAAGGAAAATGGAATGCAGAGGACTATACACAGAAATTCTGGGAGCTTGGAGAGCTTACCGGATACAACGAAGAAACTCTCATCTTTAAGTTCAAACAAGGACTTAATGCCAACCTACTATGAACCATCATCACAGCCAGGAAACCAAAAACTATAGCAGAGTATATAGAATTCGCCAATGAACTCGACCGGGAATTAAGAAACGTGGACAGGAACCAACGAAAACAAAGAGGTTTTGGAAGTCAAGTTGCGGCACCAAAACCAAATACCTGGACCACACCGAAACCCCAGACACCGGCACCACCTGTAAAGGACCCTAACGCTATGGACATCGATTCTATGATGAAAAACGGACAATGTTTTAATTGTGGACAGAAAGGACATCTCAGCAGAGATTGTCCTCAACCCAGGAAACCTAGGCAGTATGCAACTCGAGTAGTTACAACGGACACACCAGTAGTAAATGCACCCACGGACACTAGTAGCACCATGACCCCAGTAATTTATAGCCCCAAACTACTGAAAATCGCTGAGCAATTACACAAAGCAGGTTTTCAGTTAAGTCAGACATAAGCACGAATGTGCTGACTACGGACAATTCTTCTTTTGTTTCATCCAATGTAGTAATCCCAAATTTGAAATTTGATGATTTATTAAAGAAACAGAATGAATTGAGTGCTAGGAATTTTAACGGTACAACAGTTAAGAATGGAAGTGCAGAATGGACCGCCAGACAAATTAAGATTCATAAACCAGAAATGGCAATTGGAATCCTTAATATGTGGACACATACTAAACAATCTAAGGAAGTCTCCGATCAAACAGTTATGGAACTCAATAAACTTTCTGATAAAGAAGTTATTGAAGCTCTTAACGAATTAAGACAACCTAAGAAATACATTCGAGGAAACTATGGTCAACAAATGGATCTGGAATTAGTCGCCCAAACAATTGATGACAAACAAAAGTTTAAATTAGTTGCCTTATTAGACAGTGGCTGTACTGGAAGTTGCATTGATGCAACATTTGCAAAAGAAAACAGAATCAACACGCATAAATATCCGCGTCCAATTCCTGTTTATAACGCAGATGGAACATTTAACTCTGGAGGATCTATCACAGATTATGTAGAAATGAATGTTTGGATCAAAGATCATCAGGAACAACTTCATTTTGCAGTATCTAATCTTGGAAAGGCTCAGATGTTCATCGGTCACGAATGGTTGAAACTCCATAACCCTGAAATTGATTGGAAACTCTCTAAAATCGAGTTTACCAGATGTCCCTTGGAATGTACCCCACTAGTTAGGACTCTATTACCAGAAGAAGATGATGATATCATAAAAATTGATGAACCCGAAATCGAAGATGGAGAACATC